CTTGATGGGGGTGCTGGTGGCACAACGGTGTGAATGCACTTAATGCCAGTGAAATATACACTTAAAATGGTTAAAATGCAAAAGGTTATGTTATGTGTATTTTATCACTATTTTTGAAAAGCAGAAAAAAGAGAGGAAAAAGTGTACGGAAATCAGAAAATAGATGGGTGACAGCTTCAGTGACTCAGTCAGGCAGACCTCGGACTTTCTTCTTCCCGTGACTCTCTTCTAAGGGCTGTAAGATATGCCCCTTTTCCACCTGTTTCTGCACCCCTTGCCCTTGGTGGGCATGAAAGCCCCATTCCCTCTGCCATTGCGAGAAGTCAGGCATAATACTTGGTTAGTTTCCAGAGATGGGCGAAATAGATCGGTGAGTGACCACAGACCCCGTGGGGTCCAGGTCACCTTGTGTGGATTCTGTGCTAGAGGAGGTGGGTGCAGGCATCCCCATTTCGACTCATCCCTGTGGTTTCTTGGCCAGACAGTTGGAATGCCCTTCTCCAGGCGTGGGGTGGGCTCAGCACTCGGGGGATGGAGAACATGATGGTTACAGCAGTCCAAATACGGGCTGGGGAGGAGCTTCAGTTAGACTGGCCATGCAAACCACACGCCAGGCTCTTGCCAAGAGCTTCCCTTCCCTTCTGGGCCTTGCGGCAGCCTTCCTCAAATGGGGACTGAAGGATGAACTAGGTTCATAGGCTGGCGATGACACACGGGGTGCACTGAATGATGGTAGCATGGTAGGTTTTTAAAGTTTTTTTGCAGATGAGGAAACTGAGATGTAGAGCATTAAGTTGATTGCTTCAAGTCACCCAATCGCTCAGGCTGTCAAATCCCAGTAAAGGCCTCTTTCTGCGGCTGCCATTCCCTCTGCAGCGGAGCTGATTCAGCACTCACTTTCCACATATTCCAAGCTCCTGAAATACAGCCAGTCCTATTTGAGAGGGTTGTATGAGTAAAACACCCATCCGATTTCCAAGACTTAGTATGAAAAAACTAATGTGAACTATCTCATCAGTAATTTTTATATGGACATGTTGAATGATGATAATTCGGCCATATAAAGTTAAGTAAAATATGTTACAAAAATCACCTTCTCCTGGTTCTTCTTGCTTTGCCGAGGCGTCCACTAGTTTAAGGTTGAACTCCCTTCTTGAGCCTCTGTGCTCGACAGTCTGAGAAGGGACTTGTGCGTGTCTCCCCACCCCCACCCGACCACAGAGACACCCTGAGAACTGTCTGTCCCCAAGAATCTCTAATGCAATCATTTACGTTGATGCAATGAATCAAGAAGATTCTGCAATGACAAGAGGGGACACAGCAGAGAGGAAAGCTGTGCAACTGTGAGTGAGTCCGCCAGCATTTGAAAGTGGAAGAAAACCTGCAATCTACACGACCAACACAAATCACACTGGCTGCCATTGCTTGAGCCCTTCCTAGGGGCCAGTCACTGTCCCGCACCCTCACCTTTCCTGCCTCTGAGCTCAAGGGCAGCACTGGCTGACCGTCATCACTGAGTGGCAGCGGAATGACCTCGGGCCTTGTAAGGGGAAGTGCAGCCCTGCGGCTGAAGGCTGCAGTCCTGCACAGGCAGAGCCGAGTCCTGCTGCGGGTCCCGGGACCTACATGGGGGGACATCCAGGACCAGTCCCTTCATGTAGACACACCACCGCTCTGGAAGCTCCTGCTTGCTGTGCCTTTTGGCTCCCCATTATCCGTAACCCTCACTTGGGCCCCTCTCCTTTCTCTGTAACGCCCTGGCCCTCGTCTGTCATCCCCACCAAACCCACCCTGTCTGCTCCTGCACCACCGCCCTCTGCTTTTGCCCCTGTGACCAGAAAACAAGTATTCCTGCCCAAGACCCATCCCCTGCTTGTCCCCGGTTCCCTTCCTTTGCTCAAGACTTACCCGCCTCCACCTGTCCCCTCTCTCCTGGGCACCCAGGTTTCCCCAACTCCATCGCTCCCATCAGCACCCCAATATGGTCTGGCGCTTCTTCCCTTTCAAATGTCTTCCCTTTAACTTCACATCCCCCTACTTTCCAACCAACTCCTTGGCTGGCAGCAAAACATCCTGGAAGAGCTGTGTATGTTTGCTGTACTCATTTCTTCACCTCGTATTTCTCTACATGACTCTGGAGTCCTCTGACCCCACATTCCCCTGAGGGTGCCCGTGTCAAGCTCCCCAGCCTCTAGGGATGCATTTCTCACCTGGACTCTTTGCAGACTATGGTCCTTGCGTGGTTTTAAGTTGTAGTGTCCTGAGAAAAATAAGGACGGTCGTCCTAAAAACATTATTCCCAAGGCCCTCTATCAATTAGGGTGCTTTCAAATATAAGTAATTTACTTTTTACAATTATACTGAAATGTCTCAAACCAAGACAAAACGTATGGTTTACTTCACAACAATTTTGGAGATAGCACTAGGTTCTGTCTGAATAATATCAAGTACCACATTTTAGTTTTCCACTTTATCATCCCCAGTATGGTGTCTTTCTTCTGAAGATTGCCACCTCATGGCTGCAAGATAGCTGCCAGAGCTCCTGACTTCACACTGCAGCATTCCAAGCCAGGGGGATGGGAAATCACTGAAGATTTTTAGTCAGAAGTAGGATGTGTTCAGATGCGTATTTTATAAGCACTTCTTTGGGGTCATACATAGAAGACGCATTTTAGAAGTTTCCCAAGGGAGGAAGGGTAGTCAGTGTGGAAGTGACCAAGAGTCAAAGGGAAGTCAAAGTCTTACAGGGAATTAAAATGACGAGAAGGCAGAGGGTACCACTCTGCATAGGCAGGAAGGGCTCAGGTGTCGAGAGAAAACAAGAGACATGCGACCCCACCGAGAGAAACTGCGGATGAATTTCCAGGCCTTAGGAGTCTCACTGTTCTTCCTGCATCAGGGCTTCCCGGGCGCCTCTGCATGGTTCCATAAGCCCACTTTACTAAACCACAAGCAGGTTTTGTTCCTTTGCTACCAAATGTCCCATGATTAACGCAACAGCATTTGCACAACTGGATGGAGCAAAGTGACTAAGGTTAAAAAAAAAAAAGTGAAGATTCAGATGGACTCAGATTTCATTGCTTAATTTGGGTAAGGCCAGAGGGAAAATGGCATTAGGGTTTGCCTAGGTGGGGTAAGTTCCTGCCTGTGCTGCAAATCTCCCGGACCCTCTGGGAGCCGACAGATCTCTGCGAGCCGCAGTCGTTCAGGAACTCACAGCCTGAGGCCGTGAGGCCAGCCTGCCGGAGCTGGGGGCCCAGGTCTACCACGGACTAGTCCTGCAACTGACCAGCATTTTCTGTAAATGGCCAGAATTATAAACATTTTACGTCTTGCAGCCCACAGGGTCTTCATCTCAACTAGTCACCTCTGCTGTTCAGCACAAACACAGGCACAGACAACATGTAAACGATGAGAATGGTTGTGGGCCAACAAAGCTTTATTTAAGGACACTGAAATTGGAGTTTTACATCATTTTTATTTGACCGAGAATATCATTCTTTTGATTTTCTTCAGTCATTAAGAAAATGTAAGAACCATACTTGGCTCATGGGTTATACAAAAACAGGTGGCAGCCAGGACCTCCTCTGATTTAACTTCACTGAGCATCAGTCACCACATCCGTGAACTGAGAACAATACCCTCTTACAGAGGACATTTTTGAGCAGAACAAATAATACAGCTGATGCAAAGGTAGCATGGCTTAGCATTAGTTAGCATGGATGCTTGGGCAACACATCGAACCTACATGCTAGAAAAGAATCTCTTCATCTCATGTTTCCCCTTCTCTCTGGGTGAACCTACCCAGGTGTTGGGCTTCAACCACACCCCAATGAACAATCCTCAAATCCCTGCCTCAGCTCAGATCTTGCTCTTGAATTCCAGACACATCCTCTTCATCTTTCCCTCAGGCCCCTTTTCAGAATTTGATCTCGTCTCCTTCTCCCGAACCGTGTTATAGAATGAATTGCGTCCCTCCAAAATTTATGTGTTGAGTTTCTAACCCCCAGTACCTAACAATGTGACTGTATTTGGAGACAGGGCCTTTCATGGAGTAATTAAGTTAAAATGAGGGCATTAGGGTGAGCCCTCATCCAATCTGATTGGTATTCTTATAAAATGAGGAGATTAGGACAAAGACCTGCAGAGGGAAGCCCACGTGAGGGCACGGTGAGGTGAGGAGACATTGTCTGAGAGCCGAGGAGAGATGTCAGAAAAAAATAGCCCTGATGACACCTTGACCTTGGAATTCCAGCCTCCAAAACTGCGAGAAAACAAATCTCTGTGGCTAAGGCCTTGGTCTGTGGCCCTTTGCTAAGGCAGCCCTAGCAAACCAATTCTGTTCTCTGGTTTCCTCATGGGATTCCATACCAGTGATGGCCCCCAAGTCCACCCAATTATCCCAATGTGGTGACTTTAAAGAAAATAACCACAAAATTCTTTGAGAAAGAAGTAGGTCTATGCTGTCTCCCCTTGAACCTGGGTGGGACTGGGACTACTCTGGCCCAGTGGAATGTAGTAGAAATGATACCGCATGACTCCGGAGGCGAGGTCAGAAAAGGCAATGAAGCTTCTACTGGTTCACTTGGGACACTTGTCCTGGAGGAAGGCAGCCACCATGCAAGCAATCTGATTCCTCTGAGACCGCCCTGCAGGGAAGGCCTCGTGGAGGTCCTCAGCATGCCAGTCACCCTGACCCGGGCACCAGACCCGTGGATGAGGGAGCCTCCAGGTGACTCTAGTCTGCAGCCTTCAAGTCACCCCAACCTTTGAGTCTTTGGAGGCAGAAACAAGCACCTCCTCTGTCTTATTCTAATTCCTAACCCACATAATGAGCATAATAAAATGGTTATTCTATGTCACTATGTTTCAGGGTGGTTTATTATGCAGCAATAGTAACTGGAACCCAAATCAAAGCATTTGGAGGGTGGTGCCCCTGGAGAGGGCATGACCTTGCACCTGTGTTTGACCCCTGACACTCAGAGGACTGAATTCCTGTCTTCCACAGTAGGCCGGAGGTGAGGGCAATATTCAGACATAAGTTTCTAAGGAGAGGATGCTGATAAAATATCCAGGGTACTTTCTGGAAATCTAAGAAGCCCTGGGTTTCTGTCACCTGATTGGTTCCCTTCACTGTCCCTCCCCCCATCCTTCAGCAAAGCAACTGCTGAAACCCTTGCAGCCTGAATCACTCGGCAGAAAGCCAGGAACTAGCCACAGGAGAAGGATCTCAGCTGGTGGTAAGTTGAGCATCCTTTAGAATTTAGAAATTATTATTTGAACATCTACTGTGTGGCAGATGCCTCCTTAATTCCTGGACTGGACTGTCCAATATAGAATCCATTTGCCACATGTGGTTAATAAGCTCTTGCTTGTCTAACCTTAGAAGTGCTGTAAGTGTAAAATGAATTCGGTATACTCAAAGACTATGCAAAGAGGATGGGGGGGGGGCAGGTACAAGCCCTGGGACACCCCAAACTTTAGAGGTAAATTAGAGGAGGAAGAGCTAGTAAATGCATAGATGCTGGCAAGCTCTGCAGCCTTTTCCAGCCCCAGGTTCTGCCAGACTCCCAGCTCCCACCCTTCCCCACCAGGAGAGCCGCTTGACCCATTGTTTGGTTAGAATTTAAGTTCAATTTTAGAGTTTGGTTGGAGTTCTTGGATAAGTTACTGGTAATATGAAGTAATCTGTTACATCCTGTGGATTCTGGGCTGGCGGAAGCCAGCAAAGGGGGCCCTATGTCTACATTCAACCCTCTGCTTTTCTGCTTGTCTCTGCCTGATCCAGAGCTCTTTGGGCTGCAAAGAAGTTTCACCCACCACAGTGCTTCAGTTTTGTGGGATAAAGAATATGAGAGTAATAAGCTTGTTAATAATATTTGTGTGGTTATTAGAGACCATGCATTGTGTTAATTGCTAAATATGGGGATCCAGTTTTGATCTACATGACAGCTCACAGTGGTCATTATTTCTAGTTTTCATAAGAATAAGGGGATGTTCAGAGCAATCGGGAAACCTTCCAGTGAGGGAGATGAGGCGGCCAACTAAGCTATAAAGACAACCAAGAGTGTGTTGTGTGTACACGTCACGTCATGGCATAAGAAAAATGTGTCTCAAGAAGGAGCAATGGGTGAGGTGCGTCCTGTGTCACTAAGATACCAGGATAAGAACCGAGGCGGGACCGGTGGAGTCAGTCATGCGGGGGCCCTACATCCCTGAGGAGAACACAGCCCATGGAGCGCTGAGGACTGACATCACTTTGGAGTGTTCAGGAGAAAACACAAGGTGAGGAAGTGCAGACATTCCCTTCCAAAGTTTGGCTGTGACCCCTCTTCACAGAAAGAATTCTCTTGAGAGAAAGAGGACTGAAGCTGGGAAGAAATATAAGCTAAGGATTTTTTTTTAAGGGAGGGGATGTGCTGTTTATGTGACAGTGAGAATGAACTAGTAGAACGAAAATCTTGTGGGGTCGGGGGGTGGGGTTGGCAGAAGAGAAAACGGGCAATGCCGGAGGGAAGTTCTTGAGAAGGTGCGAGAGAGACTGGGGTCCAGAGCAGCACGGCAGGCGGCCTTTGGAATAAGCAGCTCCTCATTCACTGTAACTGGAGCGGGTAGACTGGCAGGTCCAGGGGCAGGAAGGCTAAGAAGTTGTTACTATCTTCTCATTAAAATGTGAGGCGAGAGCATCAGCTGAGCGCAGGGGCTGGGGTGCGGGTGGGGTTGTTAGGAAATCTGTGGAGAAATGTAGAACTGAAACAATTCTTTCAAATATGGAAATGCAAATTCACTGGGAAAGTGGAGTAAGCTAACAGGGACTGCTGGGTGCCCGCTTGACATCTGTGGTCATCAGTCCAGTCATGCTTTTGGATTAATCATTGCAACACTGGGCAAGTCCCTTCCCCTGCCAGAACCATGGTTTCCTCCTGTACTACATGATGGCATGTGTTAGGGGCTCGGCAAATAGCAGCTGCTGTAATCTCCGGTCATCACCTGTGGCTCACAGGTTCTCCTCCCCTGCCCCCTGAAACTGGAGGGGGCCACTGTCATTTCACAACTTTGCCTCATCAGCCTTTGTACAATCATCCTTCCTTGTATCTGGGCTCAATCTGGTGTGACTTGGTCCAGAAGCAGACACTACAGATTTTTTGATTCTCTTTCTTCAGAGTAAGAAAATCTATCCCAGAAGCCCCCCATGATTACCTTCCCATAGTGTGACTGCCTGGGATTTGGGCATGTGTCCACTGATAAAACAATTTCTTGCAAAGCAAAGGGGATGCCAGCTACTAGTGAGACTAATCAGGAATTGCCCCCAAAGATGGAGAGAGGGACAGCTACCCTGACGGTGGATGACTGAACAAAATGTGGTTTGGGTAGAAGGAAAGAATGAGGGAATGATGTCGGGTGGGCAACAAGCAATGCCTTTCATAGCTGTGGAGTGGAGAGAGGACTTGCAATCAGATCAAGCTGGACAGAAGACCTTCCACCACTTACCGCTTAAGTGACCTTTGGCAGGTTTCATGACTGCTATGCACACCCATTCATTCTTATGCAAACTAGAAATAATGATGAACACTATAGAGCTGTCATGTAGATCAAACTGGACCCCCGTATACAGCAATTTACACAATGCACTGTTAACTGAACCGTATTTGTGGTTCTTATAAGAACCATGCAAATATTGACAAGCTTATTACTCTCATATTCTTTATCCCACAGAACTCTAAGCTATATGGTAGGTGAAACTTCTTTGCATCCCAAAGAGCTCTCCATCAAGCAGAGACGAGGAGAAAAGCAGAGAGCTGAATGTAGATACAGGGCCCCTTTGCTGGCTTCCGCCAACCCGGAATCCACAGGATATAACAGATTACTCCACATTACCAATAATTTACCTATAAACTCCAACCAAATGCTAAAATTGAACATAAATACTAACCAAACAATGGGTCAAGGGGCTCTCATGGTGGGGAAGGACAGGAGCTGGGAGTCTGGCAGAACCTGGGGCTGGAAGAGGCTGCGGAGCTTGCCAGCATCTGTGCATTGAGTCATAGGTGGAAGATGTGTACCCACGGACTGGGTCCAGTGCTTCCCTCACTGTGCTGAAGCCGCCTCCCACCAATTTCCTGTCCGCACATCCTCGGGTCAGTATTCTTCTGGTAGACAGGAGCCTTGCAGCAGCATACCCTCTTGGTTAGGTAACCAGCCTGATAGGCAGCACGCATGGGGAACCATCTTTCCCAAAGCAACAGCCACGAGAGTGCCGCTTTTCAAGTATGACTGGCCACAAGGTTCCGTAGAGCAGGTTATCCTGGTTGGAGTGGGAGCTATAGGGAAGTTGATGTTGGCCACGAGTAGGAAAGCTGTTAAAATGAGATGGCTCCACAGCTGAGACACGGCCATTGTTGAAATGTTTCAGGTGTGGGCAAGATGGAAACCAACATATCCATCTTTCTGAACGGATCTGAAGAGAGGCACCAGGAGACTGCTGGCTCCACGGTTCTGCAGATCCTCCCGCTGGTAGTGCTTGCAGTCACCTTTGTCCTTGGCGTCCTGGGGAATGGGCTTGTGATCTGGGTGGCCGGCTTCCGGATGCCACGCACAGTGACCACCATCTGCTACCTGAACCTGGCCTTGGCTGACTTCTCTTTCACGGCCACTCTACCATTCCTCATCGCTTCAATGGCCATGAGGGAACAATGGCCTTTTGGCTGGTTCCTGTGCAAGCTGATTCACATCGTGGTGGACATCAACCTGTTTGGAAGTGTCTTCCTCATTGCCTTCATTGCTCTGGACCGCTGTGTGTGTGTTCTGCACCCAGTCTGGGCCCAGAACCACCGCACTGTAAGTCTTGCTACAAAAGTGATCATTGGACCCTGGATTCTTGCCCTAGTCCTCACCTTGCCAGTTTTCATCTTCCTGACTACAGTAAGTGATGGGAATGGGAATATATACTGTACTTTTAATTTTTCACCCTGGGGTGAAGACAGGGTGAAGGTGGCCATCACCATGTTAACGGTCAGAGGGATCATCCGGTTCGTCGTTGGCTTCAGCATGCCGATGTCCATTGTCGCTGTCTGCTACGGGCTCATTGCTGCCAAAATACACAAAAAAGGCATGATTAAATCCAACCGGCCCTTGCGGGTCCTGACTGCAGTCGTGGCTTCCTTCTTCCTCTGCTGGTTCCCCTTTCAACTGGTTGCCCTTCTGGGCACAGTCTGGCTCAGAGAGATGCTGTTTGAAGGTAAGCACAAAATCCTCAATGTCCTAGTCAACCCAACGAGCGCCCTGGCCTTCTTCAACAGCTGCCTCAATCCAATGCTCTATGTGTTCGTGGGCCAAGACTTCCGAGAGAGGCTGATCCACTCCCTGCCTGCCAGCCTAGAGAGGGCCCTGAGTGAGGACTTACCCCAGGCCAGTGACACGACCACCAAATCTTCAGTTCCTGCAGAGGTAGAGTTACAGGGACTGTGAGGAGCCTGGGGCACATGTTGGAGCTCTGTCTGCTCCTGCCCTGCTCCCAGTTCAGTGCCATCTTCACTTTGGGTCATCCATGAAAAATACTTGAGTGCCCCCAGATTTGGTGAGAAGAAACAGACATATGGGTACTGTTGGCATCATGTTTTGGGTTTTGGACCCCAGCCTATATCCTGGTGTGAGTGGAGGTAGGAAAACAGCACAAGGGAAGAGAGGAAAAAGCATGACGGGGAATTTGTAAGGCTTGGTTGAGAGAGTATATTAAGGGGAAAATGTTACTTCACCAATAAGAAAGATGTTGGCTATATGCTTTTTTCTAAAGCTGTTTTTTTATCTGATTACAGAAGTTTCTTTCCATTCCTGGCTTACTAAGTTTTCTTCTTTTTAAAGTCATGCACGGTTGTTGGACTGTTCAAACGCATATTCTGCATATATTAAGATGATCATATTATTTTTAATCCTTTTTTTTTACGTCATCTTAAATTACATTGATTAATGTTTGAATGTTAAATTGCCCTTGCCTTCCTAGACTAAACCACACTTGGTCATGATGTGTTTTATGTATCTATAATTAATCTCACTAGATTTGTTTAGAATTTCTGCATTTATGTTTATGTAAAGATGGGTCGGTTATTTTACTTTGCTCTAGTGTCCATGTCAGGTTTTACATCAAACTTGTAATAACCTCCTGAAGAACTGGGAAGTGATTCCTCTAATTCTATACTAAATTTTATGAATGTTTAGAGAAATGCACAAGTAAAGCCAGTTGGGTCTTGGGTTTTCTTTCTGGAAAGCTTTTAATAACAAGTTCAGTTTCTTTAATAGTTACTGAATTATTCAGATTTTCTATTTCCTCTTCTGTCAGTTCTGATAAATTGACTTGCAAGGAGTTTCATCCAAGCTGTCAAATTTATTGGCATCAAACAGTGTAGTAACTGTGTACAGTACCCGGGTGGTTCCCTTCCCTTGATGAGAAGGGATTTGGGTCTGTGTTGTTCACTGATGGATCCCCATACCCTGTGTGTAAAATAATGCCTGGTATGTGACACTCAATAAACACTTACTGAATTAATTAATAAACAATAGTATTGCCCAGGTGTCAAATGACAACCTTTAATGTCTCGTTAAAATTATCTCCGACCCTCATGCCCAGCAAGCTCTCAGCCCCCTGCGCACAATTTTTACAAATTCCCATGTGCTTTACATGTGTATGAGTTGCTGCTTCAAATAAAGCACTCTGGCTAACGGTTGCCTGTGACTTTGTTTTGAAATACATCAGTCCAGGACAGTACTGGGCCTCTTTTCTTTTACCCACAAGTCACAAATGCTACTTGATTGTGCAACAGCTTCCTGACGCACTGGCGAAAGAAAGAACTCGAAGAAACATTTGGTCGTCTCGTTACCAAAGTCCCTTTCCACGCCACTGCTCACTCAGCCTTCTCCCTTTCACCCTCATGCTACCCCAGAGTTTTGCATTTTCCACTGTGGAGCAGTTCACTTATTTCGTTTGCATTTTTTGACTCCGAGAAATGCTCTTTAGCTCCCGATCAATGCATTCTCTTCAACACCCGACTAAGGAACGACCAGAGAAAATGAGGAGCAAGTGACAAATTCAAGAAGGCAAAGCCAGGGGCCGTGAAGGGCCAGTGTGCATCCTTGATAGAACCAGGCTTCCAAACTGGCCGACCATGAACTTCCTCCCCTGCCAGCGAAGGGAGTTCTCACTGGCCTGCTCACTGGCCTTGGTGAGCTCCAACAGAATGCTGCCTGCTGCAGCCTCTCCATCTTTCTGTTCCTCACTGGAGGTCTCCCTCGTGGATGCCCAGTTCCAGGGCATCACCTACTGAGGATTCTTTTAAGTTTATGGAACACTTAACACAAAAAGATACTTCTAGGCCTGACTGAGTCTAAAACTCCAAAAAACCTCTGGAGCTGTCACCTTGGGAAGGATGGGAATCCGTCTCTTTGGGGAGCGGAGTACACGGGGATGTCGAGTGGGCAAAGGGGTGGGATGTGACAGGGACTGTCAGCTTCCTACCCAAGATTCACCGCACTCCTTCACCACGGGAAGTGTGGGGAAGTCCATCCACCCAAAACAACACTTTTCTCTGCCGTCCTTCCAATCAGACGTGAGGAAATGCTAAGCAATGAGGTGCGATGGCTGTTGTCACATCAGTGCACCGGCCGCCTCCTCATTCTCTTCAGTGCTTGCTTGTATCCCATTGGGCTGATGCCAGGAAAATTCAGTCAGTCACATATCAATAAACTTTCATGGTATTTCTAACCATTTCTCCAGCCTTTGCCTAAGATCATTTGTACATTGTTCCTAATCTTTTGCTGTTACTAACGACGCTACTATGAGTAGCTGTGTGCACACACGTCCCTTGCATGTGTGTGGGCTCATCTGTAGGGCAAATTAAAAGATGACACATAATTTGGTGGATTTCCTGCTCTTATCTAGGGCTAGGGCTGTACAGCCCACTGCGACCTCTCCCCCAGGAAGACAACTTCTCCTGGTGTATCTATGCAAGCTGGACTGGCTGGCCAAGAAAGATCGATCCAATTGAAGAATTATTGTTAGTTCCTGTGGTTTTGACAGTGGTATTGTGCCTACTGTTTTTTTAAAGTCCTTATCTGTTTAGAGATACAGATTGAAGTAATTAATGATGGACTATTTGAAATCTGCTTTAAGACATTCCAGAGTAGCAAAAAGGGAAAGAAAAATGAAATAAAACTGCAAAATATTTATTATTAGTGAAGTTGGTGATTCACTTTACTACTTACTTTGGTGTATACATGAAATTCCTGTTAAGACTTTTTTAAAAAAGACTCTCCTAAACCCAGCAACCCCACATACCTTCAAGTATATGTATTTATGCTCAACAGCACACGCGTTCACAAAGGTTCACTGCAAAACTGTTCATAGCAGCTCAAACTGCAAACAACCCAAAAGTTCATCAACACAATGAACAAACTGTAGGGTTTTCATGCAGTCAATTACTATTTGGCAACAAAATATTTTTAAGAACTGCATCTACATGGATGAATCTTAGATATCAGGTTAGGAAAATAAAAGATGACATAACAGAGTATGTACGGCTTTCCGCTTACATGTAACATTTTTAGGGATACACAGCCATGTAGGGAACTCAGAAGGTGGAGGACTGACTCCCGTAACAGGCAAGATAGCGGTTCTAGCTGGAAGGGAGGGGAAAGCACACTGTGACTGATGGCTTAAGGAATGCAGAGAGTCATCTGTCTTGACTTGCTGGCGGTATGTGGGTGTCACTTTTACAAAGCTACATTAATCTTCCTGTTTATCTTATTCCATTTTTCCTAAGGTTTGTTACAGTCCACAGTTCATAAGTTAAAAAAAAAATAGTTCAGTCAAATTCAGCCTCCTTTTCCTGTACACGAGGAGTTTCACAGCTTCGGGATTTAGGCTGTTTGCAGTAGGGGGACCCATTCATATAGGCACTGCAATCCTCTAAACTTGGACTTGCTAGGACAGGGATAGCTGAGGCATCGGGGGTCAAACGGGGTCAAGAGGCAATCCTGGCAGGACTGGCTTCCGTGTCATTCTGTCTGGCTCAAGGGCTAATGAAAATGAACTCTTGGAAATTGAGCTCCACCTTGTGGCTACTACATCACAAAACAAGGACGTGGAGGTCTGGCCTCATCCTCGGCTCTGCGACCTCGTGGGGAGAGCTTCGTTATTGTCCCTGTGAGCTCCAGAGTGAATTTCTAACTGCACCTGAACAAGGGGCTTAAGTCTTCTCAGATCCAGGAAGTCCCCTTCATTCCAGAATGTTCCTTCTGGAGCCTGGAGAGCGTTCCTGTTTCTCATCCCAGCCTGAGTTACCACTGCTCCTAGTTCAAAGGAAATCTGGGTAAATGTTTCATCATCTTGGGACACTGAGGATTGTTCAACTGCGTGGTTCCCTCACATTCCCATCTCGCGCCTCACCCAGCTCCACATACCATCGAGGTGCTATTTCCAAAACGTGGCTCTACGACTGCAGCTCTTTCATCAGGACCACTGGGTTAGGTCACTGCGGCACTGGGCAGCTGATTGCTATGGTGCAGCCGATTACTAATGCGGGATTCTGTATTTATTCCTGAGCCTCCCTGGTCACTGTCATGAGTGACCATCCTATTCTTAGCAGCTGAATACATTCTCTCTTTAGCAGAGAACAGACTAAGAACTGATATTAGATCTTGGATACACAGATTCATCCCAGCCCTCACCCAAGAACAAACAGTCTTCCCATGTGGGGCTAATGAACCAGCTGCTGGGACAGCGTTGGGGCAGAAGTTGTTAGCAAAATGAATCTGACAGAAAGGTTGCTCTTCCCAGCCTTTCTTGAACAAGCCAGAGGGTCTTGTTCAAGGCCCTCTGGAGCTACTCTGGCTCTGTGGCAGATGTGGGCAAGCTAAGCGGTCAATATTCTGTTCTTCTCAAAGGAGAAGTTCTCAGGAACAGTTACCAGAATTCCTAATGAATCAGAAAATCTTTCCCACCCTTCCCACCTCCAAATTCTCAGCTTCTATAATCATGTGAACCAGTACCTTGTAATAAATCTCACTCACACACACACACACTATTGGCTCTCTGGGGAACTGCGACATATTAAGGCATCACTCCAAGTTTGATGGGTATAATGGTACAGTGGCTATAGCCTTTTAAATCCTTATCTATTGCAGACACACATTAAAGTATTTAAGGGGGAAATAATACAACATGGGATATTTGATTAGAAATAGTCCCAGGGAGAAAAAAGAAAAGCAATCATGAGAGATTGACAAAGCATTTAAAATTTTTGAAGCTTTCTACTCTTGCCTATGTTTCCATTTTCCATTTTAAAGTCCTTAAAAAATAATCACCCTTTGACCCAACAAACCCACTCCTAGGTCTATGTCCTACCAAAAAATGTGTGCTTATGACCACCAAGACACATAATATGTGAGGGAAAAACACAGCTAACAGTGTGTGCCCCAGATTATGAAATATGCATATATTTCATAATAGCCCCAGACTGGAAACAACCCAAATGTCCATCAACAGGAGGACAGATAACGTAGTATATTCTTTATGAATTACTGTGCAGCGATAAGACTGCATTAGCCTACACAACATGGATTAATCTAAAGGTCATCATGTCAAATGAAAAAAAGCCACATATATCAGAATAGAGATGTTATATCCCATTTACATATAGTTTTCTAAAGATAAAACTAAAACTATACTACTTCGGTATTAAAAGTATTTTTAAAAGGCAAGGGATTTATTACATAAAGGCCAAGACAGTGATCACAGCTAGAGGAAGAGACCAGATTTGATCTGTAAAGTATCTGAAAAATACACACAGTTAGGCTTCGGGCTTTTCCTTCCTGGCCCGTGTTGGGGCACATAGGTATTTGTTTTACAAGGATGGGCTTAAGCTGTACATTTATGCCTTAATCACTTTTCTGCATGTTATCTCCCACAATAAAAAGGTTATTATTTTTTTTAAATCCGTTCATCTTGTGTCCCTTTCCCTTTACACTGAAGAAGCCTCCTCGCTTCTGGAGTCCAGGCTGCCTGAAGTAGGCAACCTACCGTATCAGAGCCATGGTACCTGCAACTGGGATCAGCAGGAGAGAGAAATCTGGGGAGTCGAAGCACACCAAGAGCAAAGCAACTCTGGCTTCACCTGACATTGCTGCCACTCATGTGACCTTTATGTGTCCCAAGAGCTCATGAAAACTCGAGCTGGAACACAGTTTCCACCTCGTGGCTGCCTGGAGCTAAGACACAACTAAGGAAAGGGAAGTTCTGCTACATCTCCCATCTTCATCCTCTCTGGGAAAAACTCAGGGGGACTTGCTTACTTCCCTGGCAGCCTCTGTAGGGTGGGTTTTCTGGGGCCCTCTGAGTAAATAACCTTCCAAGAAATCCAGGATATTCTCATCCATGCAGAACATATATTCCTGAGACTGGCGCTCACCTCATCCCTCACTGACACTAGACCGAAGAAGTCATGAAGGTTTTACTGTCTCAGGACACTGTCTGGATCATATCCCAGCACAGCGTCCAGGAACTGCCATCCCTCCCAGGTGAAGTCCACAACCACATCCTTAAATAACACACTTAACTGTAACAGCAGATTCTTACTTCAAGTGATGTTTCATTCAATGATATGGAAAAAATGTGAATGAACTTATTATATCGTTTTCAGAACACATTATACACCCAAAGTTTGGGGGTCTAGTTTTGCCTTACCCTTTATGGGAGAAATTTTAAGCTCATTAAAAATACCCTGCCATTCAAAAATCAACCAAAGTAACTCACCACCTTGACAAAATAAAGGATAAAAATCCTATCGCCGTGACAGCAGCTGCATGAAAAGCATGTAACACAGGTGTGTGTGCACATGCCAAAACTATCAAATGGTACACTAAGATCTGTACATTTCATTGTAGACATATTTTACATCAAAATACATGTAAGTAGTATAAACAAAACTAAACCCTAGTTCATGCTGGGGTATTTAGGAGGCAGTGTACTAATGTTTGTAACTTACTTTGAAATACATTAAAAAATAAGAGAGAAAGGGAGGGCTAGATGGAGAGGTCGTATTTTTGTTTGTTTGTTTTTGGTGTTCTGAGACTCAATTTCCAACATGGTGAGGTGGGGTTTCCTGACATCTACAACAGCAGTTCTCGGGTGTCCTACAATTCAACTCAATTCTAAGATTATCTACCTGGAGAAAGCATCAGATCCATGGTTTAAGGGTTCAGTCCTACAAGACTGCCCCCTGCCCTCCCACCACCTCACTTCAGATGCCAGTTCCAAGCCTGGGTTGCTACCTGTGCTTCTGACTGACTGGCAGTAAGTCAGAGGTTCCCACGGCCTCCTCCTCAGGTTCAATTAATTCGCTAAGAGTAGCTCACAGAACTTAAGAGAAACATTTTAGCTACTAGGTCACTGGTTTATTATAGAAGGATATCGCTCAGGGACAGACAGATGAAGAGGTGCACAGGACCAGGGATAGGAGAGTGTGGGGGGCTTCCTTGCCCTCTCCTGACATGACTCTCTGCCCAAATCTCCATGTGCTTATCAACTTGGGAGCTGTCTGACCCCAGTCCTTTTGAGTTTTTATGGCAGCCTCATTACTTAGACACAGTTGATTAAATCCTGGCCATTGTGAGAGATTAACCTCTAGCCCGTCTCCCCTCCTTCAGGTGGTGGGGAAAGGGAGGGGTGGGGACTGGAAGTTCCAACCCTCAAATCACATGGCTGGTTCTCCAGGCAGCTGGCACCCATCCTTGGTACTTTCAAAGGTCACCTTTAACAAAAGACATCTTTGTCACTCTCAACACTTAGGAAAGTCCATGGTTTTGGGATCTGTGAATCAGGAACTGTCGACAAGGATCAAATACATCATATGAGAAATACATTCTGGTCATCTGAATGACCAAATATGTATCTTATAAATCACAATATTGCACAGGTGATTAATAAAGTGC